TGCTGGGTTGCACCCACTAGACTACGGAGGCCCCAGGGAAGGGCAGCAGGGCCCGAGCCCACAGTGGGCAACCACTGCCCGCCCCCACCACATGCACAGATCTGGGGGCACGGGTTCCCCCTGTCCTCCTGGGAGTGTGTGTATTAATTAATTAATTTAGTTAATAGAATTTCATTTGATTTTTATTAATACAAGTTTATTTTCTACCCATGGTAACTTTTTACCATCTTTAATTTTCCCTGAGCCTGAGGAAGGCTGTGTGCTTCTGAAACCTTGTAGAAAAAGATCATTTTTTTGCAATTTGTTAGTTGGTCTAATAAAAGGTATCATCTCTGAACCAAGAGTTCTAGATTTTTGCATTTCTTTTTGTCTCGGACCAACACGGCCACCAAATACATCCTGGTATACGTGGGCACGGTGCCCCCTGCCTGACCACCCTCCTCCCACTTCCACCAGCCCCTTGCAAGCTGGAACTCTGCCAGCCTACAGAGAGCTCTTTGCAAAATGGCAAAATCCACAGGTTTGTCCATTAAAAATGAGAAATCTGTTTTCCTTGGGTAAAGGGGGAAATCCGTGTTTTTATCTGTTTTTTCCATGAGAAACAGAAAACCCAGATCCTTGGTTACTACCAAAATACTGTCCGCCTTGTACACACGCCCTTGTCGTGAAGTAAAAGCAAAACTGCATAAAAAGGGAACTCTTTCTTAGACATTATATAGATTCTATATAGGAACAAGTTCATGATTGTGTTTTTTCCCCCAGGAAGTAAATAAGCAACACTTTATTTTAATAGATTAAAGAAATAAATAGTGCTTCAGAAGTAATGTGTTGACTCCTAGTACCCTGTATCATCTTGGGAAGAGGTGCTTATACACCAGTTAACCAAAGAGGTAGAGAATCTCGGTTCCTTATTAGAAAGTTGATTCTTGTCTTCTTGTGAAAATAAAGATTAAAAGTCTTCAGACAGACCAGAACTGAAGAAAGACTTAAATCTAACAGTCTAATGGCTGAGAAAAATGGCTGCTGGCTTGTGTGTCTTAGATATGTCCAGTGTATTGCATCTCTACACGTTCATTAATGCACTGTAGTTACTGCGCATTAAGTTTAGTACTTGGTTAACCAAGTACTAAATCAGTGAACTTGCACTCCTGCCCAGTGCCACTGGTGCGTAGCTTTTTAGTGATTCTTACTGTGTGGTAACCTCATACTACTGCGCAGTAGCATATTAACATGGTTTTTGCCTGGCACGCTACTGCGTGGTTAGCATCTTGTGTCGACGCACCCACTCAGTCTTATAAATGCAGGCAGAGTGGTGGTGGCTAAGATGGTCAGAAACCTTGTAAGGCAGATATTCTGACCTGAATTCATTATTTTGCACATACTCCTAGCACCTCGGGAGTAATAAATCTTGTCTGCCTTCATTTAATATTAGCTTTCTTCCCCCTACAAGACTTTTAAGATAAAAAAAAAAAAAGAAATCTGACCATTAATTGCTTTTGGGCCTTCATCTTAAATATAGAAAAGGCTCATAGTCTATTATATCACAACCTTTTGTGACTGTCTGTTTTTGTCACTGGGGAAGGAGACAAAAGGATGTGATCCAAGCTTTTATGAATCCAAGCGTTTATGAGTCTCCTGCTGCCTCTTGTATACTGTGCTTTCCCAAGATGCAAGGGCATTGGGTGTGATGAGATGGCTGTTGAAGAGATTACAAAAGATCATTTTTAAAGTGTTTACAAGTTCTGTGATCATCTCACTGCATACATTAATGAGCTGTCCCAGAGACATTTGAAGCCTCTGGGATCAGACACAAGGTCAGTACCCCTCCCTGATGCCTCTGCCCTCCCTCTCTTTCCCCCCCTCCCCCCACCAGTTGTAAGGCTTCAGTATTATTTTAATATAATCACAACCTTTGGCTTGACAGCGCACTTCATTTGTATTTGCATATCTAGACAGGGGGTGGAGGATACAGGAAACCAAGGTTTATTCCTAGCTCTGCCATGGCTTTCCAGTGTGACTCTGGGCAAACTGTTCCCTAACTCATTTTTCACGTGTGGGAGGTTGGGGGTAGGAGGGCTGGAGAGAATGGGAAATGCTTGCTTCCCGCAGAAGTGCCGAGGCCGCGTTTGTTTGTTTGCAGAGCACACAGACGTTCGCAGATGGAAGCTGCTAGAGAAACGCACAATTGTTAGTAACAGTAATTCTAATTTTGGGAACTTCAAATTTAGAAACATCCTTTTTCTTCTGGTATGACGATTCCTGGTAGCTGAGGTTGGAATTTAGAAAAAAAGTTCCACTGGCAGGTTCTTCTTAGCCTCTTGGCACGGGTTAAAGTTCTTACCTCTCTACTCTGGGATTACCAGCTTGTCCTACCTAATAATTACTGTGACATTTGTGCAATGAGAATAATAAAGGCTTGTGTCATTCACAAGAAGCCCACCTCAAAGTTCAGCTTCCAAACTGAATGGCATTTTGTGGTGCCTTCCTGTCTTTGGATTTCACCCCTGTTTTGGACCCAGTTAAGCAACACTATGCAAGGAATATGTGTAGTTTAGGCTAGAGTAATGCTTTTGAAAAATAGATGACTTGCTTTTGGAGCTAACCTAATCACAATGACAAACCGGTGACGAAAGATGCTTCCAAGGTTCCAGTACGTGGACTCTGCACAGACATATATTTTATTACATTGTGCAAATATGTACCAGTTTCCTTCCTAATCTGTTTAAAATGATGGTATGATCAGAGGTAGAAACCTTTCTAGAGGATAGGCTTACCTCCTCTTATAAAGCCTGCTCTTTTTTCTACTCTTTACAACCTTCTGTTACGTATTAATGAAAGTTCTTTTTTTTAATTTAAAATAGGAGAGAAAGATTAGAGTGTGGGTCTCCACCATCTTCTGTGATAGGTATTGCTGGTGCACAAGAGGTATCACAAGACAAAGGTGTTGTTGGAAGCCCTTGCTAAAATATTGACAATGCATTTCTTTGTTTCTTGGAATACCTTTAAATGTTACATGAGAGTTTACATAAGACCAAAGGAAAGTAGGGCTGGAAGGGACCTTGTGAGGTCTAGTCCAGCCCCCTGCTCAAGGCAGGATCATCCCAACTAAACCATCCCAGACCTATGGAGAAGTCTTCCTTGATACTTTTAACCTCTCCAACTCCCTCCATTTTTCCTGACAGAATTATCTAATTTAGCTCTTCTTGTGAACATACACAAATATTGTTCTTTGATCACAGGGGACCTAACACATGTTAGTGGCTTCTGTACCCAGGTATGGAAACAGCTTAAGCCATGAACACTAGAGATGCATTTAGAACTGCTAAACCTTATATAGTCTTTCCCTCTTTATTACCACCCTAGCTGATACAAGCACGGACCATGTATGGCCATTTGAATCTGATGTGTTGTTTAGAGGCCCTGCTGTTAAATGACATGCAAACTGCTTTCTACGCCCAACATGCTGCTGCTTTTGTTGCATTTGAAATCCATGCTGGCCCAGAAAGTGAGATTTGGCGCAAAAGCTGCCATGCCAAGGAGCGCTGTCAAGGCAGTGCGTTCTCGGGCTGGTGAATTGCTCTTCATAAGTGTTTGGTTATTTGCCATCCTTTAGGTAGGAAATTAATAGCAAACTGTTCTGACAATTCCAGACAGCTGGGAGTGTCAGCAGCCCCATTTACTTGCCATATTAAAGCCTGCCTTTTTCCTTTTACTCCCGTTTAGTGTGTTGTCATATGGAGTGTCGGAAAATCACAGCCATCTACAAATTGGCTTATTTATCTTGGGATGATGAATGATACTTAAAGCACCTTGTCATTACCAGTTCCCTTGTGTATATTCCATGCCCTGTTTTTTTAACCTAGTAAGCTCAGTACCCTTTTAGGACTTTTTGGAGGAGGGGCTAAAAAATAATTTAGAGTATGGAAACGATATTAGTCACCACTGTCTTTGTTTTTAGGAAGTGATGTGAATAGAGCCTAGCCATGCATAAAATTGAACTCCCATCTCCAGAGTTTCCAACCTTTTGTAGTATTTCCAGAGTCTTGTGATTATTATTTATTTAGCTAAAGATTATTGCAGTCTCCCAATGACAAAAATGCTGCTGAACAGCTTTCTTTCTATGGAAAGTTGATCTGGTTTTCCAGGGGCAGATCTAGGATTTTAAAAAGGGGGTTCAAATGGTGTGGTGCAGCTTTTCTCCATTTGGAAAGAAACTATAAGCTTTGCTAACATAGTAGGGGCCAACACTACAGTATTCGGTTTATTATTGTCAGAGCAAAAACAAATATAACTTTATTTTTAATATAATCTACCAAATGAGTGTACTTTAAGTTTAAAAAGCACGACAAACTAGGCAAAAATAGTCAAAAGATAGTGTTTCATTGGTCTTGTGGTCATTATAATTAAATGTACATCTCTTATTCAGATTTGTACAGCAAAATCAAGTAGTCTTGAGCATCTTGACAGTGTCTCCAATACTTCATTGTCATTCATTTCTATACCTGAGTTAATAATACCCGGCCTATGAACTAGAACTTCTGTTGGACTATGAACTAGAAGGGTGACATCTTCAGAAATGGATAACAAACTGCAGAAGAAAGGATACTTTGAATAGTGGAACATCAAGACCATTAAAAAGGAGAGAGTTGTTAACATCTGTGGAGTGAAGAGGAATTAGCAGGAGTTAGGCAGATTATAATGAGCCATGTAGTCCATTGACTCCCTCGGCACTGTCTGAATAAAATGCTGCTGCCCTCCTAGGCAGTTGGTTTTAAAGTTTGGGTTGAGCAGAAATTAAAGGGGAGGGGGATGCAACTGCACCACTGGATCTGCCCTGTGGTCTCCTATTCTTCCAAATGGACAGAATAATTTACCGTTATACAGTCTCCTGTTCTGTTCTTCACGTGTGTCTCAGAGTGAATGATCAAGACGAGGTTAGAGAGAGGGGATTCAGGAGACTGGGTCAGTGGTGCTCAGCCTTTCTGTTCCTACAGACTGGATGCATGGCGCAGGCCCAGCACATGGGGTAGGACCCACAGGTGTGATCTGGTGTGCCAGCGTGACCTCACATGCTGGATCTGGCTGAGGCACAACATCATGTGCCAGCCTGACTTCATGCTGGTGCAGTCAGGGCTGCAGGGTTATGTCTTCCAAACCATATAGCTCCCCATAGGTCTGGAAATTTGGCAGCAATGGAGCAGTAATTAGCATGGCTCTGGGAGCAATTAACACTGCTACCACTCTTCCACCACCAGTTTTCCAGACCTATGGGGAGCCCCAAAGGCTGAGTGACTCTGCTCCATGGCTGAATCTGGCCCATGCGCTAAAGATAAAGCGCTGCTGAGCTAGGTAAAGAGAACAGGTGTGAGAGCCAGGAGGCAGCATAGTGAGGGATGGGCTAGGGAGCAGAAATTTCTAACTGCTTTCCTATGCTGGGTGTTAGGCTAAGAATAGTGGAGTCCTCTTCCACCTGCATTTCTGGGTACAGCTGAAGGCAGGAGGCTTCCCTAAAGGCTAAAGTTAGAAGTTAGACCCATAAAATACCATTTGAAGAAAAACTTAAGATTTGAAGCTAGGCTTTTGACACTTTGGGATCTAATTTAGTGTTTTGAACACTTAGTTATAGTACTGCATTTTGCTGTAGTTGCTATCAGTCTGCAGCCTCAAGAGATGAGGACAGGAGGGTTTTAAATAAACCAATTGATTACTGGGTTTTTTTTTTTTAAAGTAGGGTTGGATTGGTAGTGTAACCATGATGATCCAGGAAATGTATTAGGCAAGTTGATCCAATAAAAGATGAAAAAAACCATTTGCCACATTTTTGTCTGCTTGATTTTTTCCCCCCCACTTAGCACCTTTTAAAGCACAGAAAAGTGAAAAGGAGACAGGAGTCTCCTTTAAAAAGAAGTTAGATACTACTTTACCCTCTTTTAAACTGTATTTCTAAAAATATCAGAAAAAACTTTAAACAAACACAGGCACATGGGTGAAAGAAAAGTTCAGCTGCTAAGTGTATTGTTGAATTTCTTCATAATTAAGTCCTAGATTATTTTAATGTTTCATTGTTCTGCTTAATTTTGATTTGATTCAAGATTGCATATTCTATGAGATGGGTTGAAAAGCAGTAAAAGTGAGAGATACTGGGTGCGTCTACATGAGATGCTAGATGCGCAGTAGACCAATTCTACTGTGCATTAGCACCATTTTTGCTGACCGTGTTAACTACTGTGCATTAACACAGTCAGCAAAAACGGTGCTAATGCACAGTAGAATTAGTCTACCAAGCATTAGCATCACATAAAAAGTGTGTGCTGGCATTACTGTGCAGTAGCGCAGATTTACAGCGCATTAAGTTTAGTACCTGTAATTACTGGTACTAAACTTTAATGCGCTGTAATTATGGCGCATTAATGAGTGTGTAGACATGCCCACTCAGCTTCTGGCTGGCTCATTGTATCATCTGCTAAATGACTTCCAGTCTTAGTTAGCTAAGAAATGAAAAGGCCAATTGCTAGCGTTGTTACCATAGCAGTAATCTTTAAGAGACAGGGAAATCATATTTAGCATATGCAACCAGAGAACAACAGTCAGACGTTGGACAGACAGATCTGCAACATTTTCTTAAGATACAAGTTGCGGTGGTGGTAGCAAGCTATTTGGTCCTGTTTTAAAATATTTCTTAATGTAGGTGTGTGTGCAGTTGGATTTAACTAATCTATTTTCATCTAAGGATTTCTGGAAGCTTGGAATGCACAAAATGTGTGATTCAAAATTTGGGTCTTGTTTTGAAGCATCTGAAAATGTTATACAGTGTAACAGACTGTAAGCTTTGTTATTAATTTTTAACACCAGAGATGGTCTAAAAGCAAAATGTCAATCTGGTATCATTTTTGTGGCATTATTTTTAGTCATGGGAAAGTGGGCAAATACTGTTAAAGATTAACTCTTGGGGGAGCGAGGGGGGTTGGATGATGGCACTTGTCTAGTGACTTGAACAGTCCAAGACTCAAGATATGATTTTTTTCAAGTAACATCAGGAAAACTTATCACTATATTTCAGGGTAGAGGTGCTCTTTCCTCATTCGTTATTGTAACAGGGCCCAAGTGCTATTTGTAGCTTTGAGCTGTTGGAGAACAGTTAAACCACCACAGTAAAGTGGGTGACTGACCTTTAACTTCATTTCCTCTGATTTCAGGACACTTAGTCCCTTGCTGCTGGAATTAACGTTGACTACATCTCCCAGATGCACTTGAGAAATGATTTAAACTTGAATCATTCTGGTTGCCACTCTGCGAACAAGGGCAATGGGTCTTAAAAAGGCTTAAAATATTGATTGCTAAATAGTGTATGGTGATTTCGATCTTGCTCGCTCATGCTTTCGTGCTTGTGCTCGCTTGTACTCTCTCAATTCCTAATTTTTTAACCAATTGGGAATAATAGGAATCTCCCAAGAGGTTTATTGGAGCATCTAATTTTGATGCCAAGAGGATGAAAGTGTTATGGGCTGTTGATTTTAAAGAATACCTCCAATCAAATATTAAGTCTATCATTTCTTCCTTTTGAACACTACTTTGCTGGTGTTAGTAGTTAAAATGTGTTGTAGCAACAGAAGGCAAAGTGTACTGTTAGGTTGTTTTTCTTTTCTTTTCTTTTTTTCTTTTTGGTTGTTCTTGACTTCAAATGAATCATAGTGGCTTTCATCATATACCTTGTTACACAGGGTAGCTCAGGAAATGGGATTTCTTTTACCTTCCAAACTTGGTGCAAAGCCGGCCCCAGTGAGTGACCAAATGTGCTTACCTATATAGCTGGTTTGTTCATATGGAATATATTGGTGATTATTGCACCACCCTCCAAGTGACAGGTGCCAAAAATCTGTTGTATAAGCCAGACAGGGTATTGATTACAATAGTGAAACTGAGCAAGACATGAGTGTGACTGTTGTCTGGTCTTAAAAGGGAGCTGCTCTGGATTAAAGATGTTGAAACGCTTTGGAGAAGTAGAGAAATTTCTGCTGCCACTGCCTACAGTTGCATTTGCCCTAGAGAGACAGAACTTAAGTTATTTCTGCTGTCTGCTAAAAGCTTGTTTACACTTTATTTGGACTCCAGCTACGCTTATTATAAATGCAGCACATGTAGATTAAGAGGTTAATAGTGTGTTGGCCCTTGTGAATGGGTTTGTTATTAATCAAGAATGTTCATTTGTGTGTTTCAGGCAAAGTCGTGTATTTGTCACATGTGTGGTGCCCACCTGAACAGACTTCACTCTTGCCTCTACTGTGTCTTCTTTGGCTGTTTCACAAAGAAACATATTCACGAGCACGCGAAGACAAAGCGACACAACTTAGGTAAGCCCTCGCCCAGGAATACCTCCTCCACCCTTTTAACCCATTTCAGAGCTTGACGTCTAACAGCATGGCACATACCAAAACACAGCTCATTAAGACAGGAAGGTCCATCTGCTGTTTGGACTAAACCTGTGGCACTTTTTTTTTTAAATGCACAGTAGCATCAGCCCTGTTTTTATTGTAACATTAATGCATTCTTTATTATAACCTAAGGTTTCATTATTGCAACTTTTACTGTCTGTTGATACTTCTTGACTTAAATTCTTTAGAAAAGGAAGGGGAGGGGATTGGGAGGCGTACCCTGCAGTGACCTCTCTTGTGTAAGTGATGTGTTTTTGCTGGCAATTCAGGTTTTATCTTTAACTTTTTGTTAGATCACTTGTTTATAATAACTAACATAAAAATTGAATTGTCAAATCCATATTCATTATTGCTTATGAAATTCACAAATCCCAACACGCTGCAAGTTAATGAAGTTATGTTCAGAAAAAAATATTTTAAAAAATATATTGGTTTCTGCACTCCTGTCCTGTTTTTAGTCGTATGTTGCTTAGGTTAATGACAAGAAATTATTCAACTGTTGTCAGAAGTGCAATACTGATAGTAGAAGAACTGTCTTCCATTCTACCTCTACATCTGCCAAACGCCCATGAAGTTGTGATCCTGCAACCTTCACTGCTGGGTGACCTGCAAAACCAAGAGAATCAATCTTTACTCTCAGATAACAATGGTGTTTTTAGTTCATGGTACTTAAGAACAACCTGGTTAGTGTTGATTGGAAATTGGTTGACTGTGACATTGGAATACTGAGGTTCAGCTTCTCAGAGTTAGCTTGTTGACTAACCACTTTTTCCTGCCTTCTTTCCTGACTGAAATGTACTAAAAGTCAAACAATTGGATTGTCCTTGCTAGGCCATGCTTAGACCCATGTCAATAAAGCCTTATGAAAAACTAATGTGATGGAAAATCATTATTTTAGGTGCTACAATAACTTTAGATTGTATTTGTAGCCATATAGCTTTGCCTCTTATGAAAAGAAACACAAAAAATGGAGAAAGGAAGTTAAGGAATCCATTACCTCAAAAAAAAAAAAAAAGTTCGCTACGCTTATTTTCAAGGTCCAGTGATTTGCTAGCTGATTATTTTTAGGTGGTTTGGGGCTATGAAGTTACTGCATTTTTCACTGTACTATGATTGCTGTTATGCAGTTAGCTCAGTATTGTGCATTTGATATTACTTGTTATCCTTCTGAAGCAGAATAAACCAAAAGAAGGTTTTTGCCTTCTAATAACCTTACTTCATTTAGACCCAGAAAGTAGCAAGTTCCAACCTAACTGATACTGAGTGTTAAACCTTAGCATCTAGGTTTCAGCAGACTGTAATGATGTATAACCAGATGCTTATCAGCAAAGGTAAGTAAAATAAGAATATTTCATTTAGCATCTGGGGTTTTCTTGAGTGGCTCACCCTGTTTGCAAAGCAGGAGTAAAAATAGAAACATTTCACAGCCAGTGGGAATGTATGCGAAGCTAAAACGCTAAACTCTTCCAGAACCTGAATGGCTTTTCTGGTTTTTTGTTTTGTTTTTTTTTTGTTTGTTTGTTTTTTCAAAGGCATGCAGCTTTTTGTTTTGAATGGAAGGTAAACTTTTTAAGAGAATTAGCTGGGAATTAAGTATCTCTCTCCAAGAAGATTTAGGGAACAGGTATTAGCTATGAAGATGCACACAGTATGCTGACTCTCTTGCATAAGCATGTATACAGTGTCTCTCTCAAGACTAGCTTTTATTTGAAATGGTAGACACTGTAATAACACAAAGCTGAGTTAGTGTTGTCACCAGACTCCAGAGATGGGTAGAACCTCTGTTTTGTAAATAGATTTTGATTTTATTTTATATTCCTTAATTATTAACTTTCCACCTGCTGCCTTACTCCTCTCTTCATTTTCAGTTCCTCTTTCTGCAAGGATTCTGCAAGGCATCAGTTCCTTTCATCATTGCTTACCCAAATGCTCTACCTCTTATTTTTAATAACTCTACAAAAGTGGAATTATTAAAGATATTTAAAGTTTCCAGATGACAGGAGCATGATGGCAGCTTTAGCATCAGCCCTCACATAGTGATGACAGAAGAAGTGAGGAGGCCAGTACTAAATGATCATGAAAGGTTTCCATAGGGAATACTGGAGCTGTTCCATGGATAATTATTTAAAACAAACAAACAAATAAAAAAACTACTGCAAAATTACCTCTAGTAATTTTAGGCAGACAGTTACTTGACCATTTAGAGTGGTCAAATCAGCCTTTAAAATGTAAGGTTTTTTCTTGGAGTGAAAACGAATAGAATCCAGCTAGGAAACGCTCATTGAATAAGGCACAGAAGAAAATCCAGTTAGCCTGGCAAAAGGTTGTGTACCTACTGCACTCGTCAACAGATCCTGAAAGCTATAAAGGCTAGCAGTGATTTACAAGAGCATAAATTGTTCCTATAACAGGACTGCACATACAGTGTTCAGTAGGAAAAAAACTGTATTTATAAAAGCTACGTCCTTTTGTAGCTAGATGCTTAAAAAAATTATAAGATCCCTGTCTGCTTTAGCCAAAAATAAAGAATTTAAAACCCCAGCAGTGGAAGATTGCGCAAGGAGTTTTTTTTATACATGAACTAGTACTTAAAAGAAAATGACGTCTTTTGTAAAGAAAATGATGTTTTGAAAATTGATCACTTTTATACCTCTGCACCTTTTACTCCCTCCTTAATTCCAAGTGCAGTCTTAGACTGGTATTATGTGTATTTTAAATCCTCAGACCTTTAAAAGAAACTAGAGTAATAGTAATTCAGAAACTGTGAACTTGCTCTTTTTTTGTGGGGGGTGGGGATGGGGTTGTTACATGTAGGATCCTGTTTCTCTTCGCTTGTGTGTGTTTCGTATTGACCCCTTTTGCTAACCAACTTGTACACACACAGATAAATGTTTTGTAACCAGAATTGACAATTTATTCCAATATCAGTATGGTTCAAGGAGGTTTTTGACGAGCCTAAAAGCACACATTTGAATTTAATGCAGCATTTGAGCAGTGGTGGCACACCGTCTACACAGTAATGTGGATGTCTCTGTTGAGAAATGCTGACATGTTTCGTTCCTCTTGTCAGAGTTAATAAGGAAGACAGGAATGTCCATTTTCATCTTTTCTGTTTGAGTTGAGGTTAGAATCACTTATTACATTAAACAAGATTTCAAGCTGCAAGATTTGCACTTGGATATAACTGTGATGGAGTCCGGTTTATATTTAAAAATGTAACTGGTTAAACAGTGAAAAGCTGATTTAACAGATAAAAGTAGATCTCATATGGTGAGCCAGTTTTATGTGCTCGATGGGAGGAGTATTATTAAATATGATACCTAAGTCTTTCTAGCAAATGTATCCTTACACATTAAAATGCTTAAATAGTTTGTTTATTAGGTGTTCCCAGACTTGGTACGCATACCTCTGGGAATATATATGCAAGACATCTCCGGGGGGGGCGGTACGTGGGAGAAATTGTATAATGGCAGATTTAATTTTCATTGTAATAATAACTGGCATTTAGGGGGTTAAAATTATAAAATGTGTGCTGCTAGGGAAACACAGGCAGCTGGAATCTGGAAGGGGGTATACAATAAGAAAAAAGTTTGGGAACCTCTGGTTTAGTATATTTTACTCTTAAATATAAAGGTCTTAATTTTTTCCCAACATTCAATTTAATATTTGGTCGTCCCATTTGGAGTATTAAAAGTACAGTTGGGTATAAGGTACCTTTTAATTGTAATTTGATTCACTTGAGCAACATTTTGCATAGCAAACCTATTTATAAAACAGTGTTGTGCGGCAATGTTACATCTAGAAAGGTTCAGGCATCCTCTACAAATCTGTAAAGTTATTATAAAGGGATAGAAAAAGTAAAGTAAGTCACTACTTTGTAATGGATAGCCATATTCTTCAAGAACCCTAACTTTCCTATAAAAATGAATAAGTTCTTATACCAGCCATAGGCAATGAAGTGTTGACTGCTAAGATTTCCTTAAAGAAAACAACATTTATTTTTTCAGAAAGTGAATAAAGAAAGCATTAGTATTAGGGATGTAAACGGTTAAACGATAATTATATTTTACCATTTACAGCTTATCTACCGTTTAGTGGCCTGCAGCAGGAATGGCCTCAGCCCTGGCCCCCTATGTCTTTGCCATGCACCCATTGCTGCATGGGTCCTAGGCTGCTGGTGGGGAGTTGCAGGCAGAGGGTGCAACCACGCCACTCAGGGGCACTGCCCAGCTGTGGTGCTTGGCACCCCCCACAGGTGTCAGGTGGGGCCTTTCTGCTGCAGCAGTGAGACTCCAGGCGTTATGGTGGGTCTGTCCTGCCCCCCTGCAGCGATGGGGCCTGGGCATGGCAATGGGTGACAAGTTCCCTGTGGTTCCCACCACGCTTGCGCTGCCGCACCCTGCACTTGGAAGGCTTCTCCATGCTGTCGGGTCCTCCTCAGCTCACCCAGGGGATAGAGTGGTCTGGCCCCAGCAGCGCAACCTCTGCCAGGTCTGCTTCCCCCTCCTGGCCATGATGCTGAGCCTGATCTGGCCCTGAGGCAGAACACATCGCCCTGCCCTGGCTGCCACTGCTGCAGGAGGGCCAGGCAGACCCACTTCGGGGCCGGGAGTCTCGGTGCTGTAGCAGACAGGCCCTGCCCAACCCCTGTGGGGAGGCTTGGCACTCCCCTCCCTCCCCGTGGCAGCGGGATCTGGGTGCAGGAGAGGTCTCCAGCCCCTACCCTTGCCCATAGGGGGGAGGAGAAGCTGTGACTCTGCAGCTGGGCAGTGTCCCCTGGTGACTTGGCCATGCCCCTACCCAGTGGCTGGGGCTTGTGTAGCACGGGGCACATAAGGGGCCGGAGCTGGGGTCGGGGTCATTACAACCGGAGGTCACTAAACTAGAAATGTACTGTCGGTTCACCATTTAACCAATAT